AATAGTGACACTGTGCCACTCAGGCGCTCTTGTCGGCGTTGATAGAGTTTGGAAGATGTTAGTCCCCGAAGTCTCACACCAGCCATGGTTCTTACCGCTGGGAAGAAAACTGCATGAGGATAACCGAATGGCAACTCTGAAGTACAAACTCACAAGGTTCAGGAAATGGTTTTCTTCCAGAAAAATTGTCTTCTTGTATTTGCTAATTAAAAGAAGTGACGTCCATTCTTCTCATACATTATTTTCTCTCAAGAACTATACAGATTCTTTGCCTGCTTTCCTTCTTTCTTCAATCCATCCCAATAATAATCTTATGAATTCAGAATTATGTTTGTTCAGAAAACTTAAAACACCGTATTTTGAAATCTTATTCCCCTTAATTCCCTCATTAAAAAAATCACAGAAATGTGATAAATAATAAATTAATTTAATAAATTATAAATAAAAAATTGAGTAGCCATCTCAGAAAAGATAGCTAAGAGATTTTAATAGTAGATATTTCATCTGTAAATAACAATGATACTAATAAAAACATATCCTTTAGTTTCGGCCGTCCTTAACTAATTTTCCATTATTTATGCTCTAGCTAAAGTTTTTTATGTCACTTGAGCAAAAAGTGCTAGAAAGGAGCAGAGTGGCTTTGAAACTCACTTCAAAAAGCACATTCTACTAAAATATCAAGAAGCACAGTAAATAAACATATTTTACATTCCTAAACCCTCCCTACCCCCAGTACATAACTTCGGACTCAGAAGGTTACTGACTCAAGCTATTGCTTTCTTTACACCCACTTTGGAAAAAGTATCATATTACACAAATTGGAGTCATAACTCTGAAGTTTAAATTCTTTTGGTGATCCAGTCCTCTTTGTCCTTCTCTCCTTTATTCATTGTTCTGTTAACTTTTATTATCGTATTTTAAATCAGATTTTTGTCTTATTATTCCTTTGTGTGTGTGTTTGTGTGTGTGTGTGTGTGTGTGTGTATTATAGGACCAGAGTTCATGAACATGAACTGGCTATTAGAAGGCAAGAGCAACGCTCACAAGTGTGGGCCCATATGTCCAGCTCTGGCCACACTTTCGATCTAGCTAACAGAGTTTATAGCTCATGAGACTACCAAGGGTGGCCGCCTACTCAAGGAAGCCTGGCTCTCTAATAAAAATTCCATCAACCGGGCATATAGATCTTTTGCCGACCTACCAGACGCTTAGGAGATGGGAAAAACAGCACCACGGCCTGCTGAGAAGACACTTAACTCTTCCTTGGCAGGATTGGGGTGGTAGAATGATGGATGAGACAGGCACGATCTCTAAGGAAGAAGATGACAGCGTTTTACATAATTGGGACGATGGCTCTATAGATGGGACGACTACAACTCCCATGGACCGAGATGATGGACCAAATGGTCCTAAGCCAGGGACGGAAGCGCTAAGGCGATCTGGAAGAGGGGGAGGGAGGGGGAAGGAATGCCGGAACAGCTGCTTGTTGCATGACTGGGGCGGAGGAATTATGACAAGGGCCTTAGGGGTGGGGGAGGATAATGGCCCTGGGAGGGAGGGGGACTGGGCACAGGGACAGATTGACAGCTGCCCTCCAAGTGTTTGCACACACTCTAAAAGAGCACTTGAGGATCGTAAAACAACCAGTGGAGTCAAAAACAGTTTGCCTGATGCGGAACAACTCTGTGCAATACGGATTAACACAAACAACGGGCTGATGACGCGCTCAAGCAGCCGGGCGCAGAGGCAGGAGGCTATATGCTCCCTTCCCAATTTCCCACTATTCTAACTCGGATGACGCCGGCAGTTTTTTGGCCGGACAAAAGCTTAGTGACTCTTCTTAACCACAGGCTGGTTTATTATATCCTGGTGTTCGTTTTTTCTTTTTTTCTTTTATTTGTTAGCATAATGCCCAGGATTCGCATATGTATGTATGTATGTCTGTATGTATGTATGTCTGTATGTATGTATGTAGGTCTTTGGTTATTCGGGTTTTCTCCCGCGTCAAATTGGAAGTGTCTTGGCGACATTTCGACGAAGTCTCATTCGTCATCTTCAGGCTGGTGTTTTCGGCTTCGTGCTTCTAGGAGCAATGTGTGATCGTAGCTGTTTCTTCCTTTTAACTGATTGGATGAGAGCTTGACTGTGTTCTGATTGGATGGAGGTGTGTTTTGATTGGTTAGGAGCTTGGCTGTGCTCTGATTGGATGGGGGGGTTGGCTGTGCTCTGATTGGTTGGAGGAGTGTTCTGTTTGGGTGGGGGCTTTGTTGTACTCAGGTTAATCTGAGTTGCAGGAGGATGTGAGGTGGTGAGCATTGCTATTGTTTGGCTTCGCATTCGTGGTCGTGCCTCATCTTCATGGTGGGTGTCAGTTTGCTTCATGTATTATCACACATAGCTCTGATAACATGTCTTAAGTCAGAGGGTCTTTATCTCTTAAATTTCATCAGTCATCTATTAAATGATCAAGATTCATCCAAGTAGGGAAAATTTCAAGTTCCTCCTAATACTTGATTCTATTATATTTATTATCTAAGGTAAGTTTTATGGACTTGTAATGACTCATCTATGCTACTTCTCTGCTAATCTGCCCTACTGTCATCATCCATTAATTGTGGGTTCACAATTATTTTGGCGGCTGTAGTTTCAAAAGATGTGATAATTTATATCAGAACAAAAGCAGAAATATTAAATTATTAACAATGAAAAATTTATAATAGGCATTTATTTATTAATTTGCTTGTAGGGCCGTGGTGGCTCAGCAGTTAAAGACACTGAGCTTGTCAGCTGGAAAGACACTGAACTTGTCAGTTGCAAAGCTGACAGCCCAGGTTCAAGACCCAACCCCCTGCAATGGGATGAACTCCCATTACTTGCCCCAGTTCCTGCCCACCTAGCAGTTTGAAAGCATGCAAATGTGAGTAGATAACATGAAGTAGGTACCACTTCAATGGGAAGGTAACAATGTTCCGGGCGCCTGAGTATATAGTCATGCTGGTCACATGACAATGGAAATGTCTTCGGATGATGCTGGCTCCCTCAGCTAAGAGATGGAGATGAATTTAAGAGTCCTTAGATGGAGATAGACACAACTGGACAGGGGAAACCTTTACCTTTACTTTTTTTGCTTTTAAGTATTTATGCATTTTCATTATAACTTAGCTCAATTTTATACCAAATAGTTCATGAACACTTCTACTATATAATTAATATTTTTAATCTTGTAAGAATAACCTGAATGCTATAACTTGTACTCTCAAAAAACAAAAAATAGGTTAAGAGTCCACCACTGGATTAATAGAGTCCCATCATTTCAATCTCTAATGATTTCTTCTTCCTATTCCTCATTGTTTATATTTTTTGATAAGATTGATGTACTTATGCAAAACAAAACAAAAATGCAGACTTACTTTTTCCAATAACAATAATAAATAACAGAATTGTTAGCAAATAATATAAGAATTAATATAGTATAATTGCCTTCAGAAAACTCCAAATGTCGGGTGCATGTCACACAAACAGCAGATTTCCTCAGTATGCATGTCTTTATCTCAAACAAAAGGAAGGAAGCTCATCTTAACAGAAGCACAAGAGATCCTCCCAGCTGCCCACTTGAAAAGTGAAAGAGTTTAGCCTTCAATATTTGTAAAAGAAACAAGGTATCAGGAATTAGAAAGAGTGCTGCAGACCATTTGATAAAAAGAAAATGATCTATAAAAGATTGGGAAAAAATCCATAAAACAAGTAAGAGGAGTTTGACTTCAGATACGGGGTCTTCAAGCAGCAACCCATTCTAACGAATAGTAAAATAGAAATATTGCATAAAATTATTTTTTATTTAACCTACATTTATGTTCTCAATAACTGTTCTCCAAATTGTCTTTTTATGCAATTTGGAACCTCTTTACAGAAGAGTTGCTCCAAATAAAGGCAGACTAAAATGAGACCCAAATCTGCCCAGAACCCTATAATATCCTGTACAGATTTTTGCTGAGAAATTCTTTTAACAATCTATTTGAATAATTCTGCATTTGCATTAGTTTGGCCATTAAATGCTTTGCTTGTTCTAACATACATGTGCACAGCATTTACTCTCCCCAATAGATAGACATGTATTTTATTGTTTAAAATTATTTTATATTTAATAAATTTACTATAGCACAAATTTACAATAACATACAATCAATTCAATATCTGGTGAAAAACATCTACAATTTTAATGGTCCAGAGAGGCAAATAATAACATCTAAGATTTAACAGGTTTCTAAAGAGTCAAACAACAGGATAAAAGCTTTCACCCTCCCTATGTAAAGTGCCTGTTTGATGTATTTCACTGTTCTATAATAGTTTTTTAGCTAGTAAGACATGCAAAAAGATTGTTTAAGAAAAAACCAGCCCACGTAGCAAGTGTATTTTACATGTGACTTGTTTGATCACAGGAATTATAGCAGCAGAATATTGCCTTTTTTCAGGAAGTTTTTTGATTTTCCAGTCTAGGATTGAAAAACTGGATTTCCCTATGGTCTCCCATCTAAGTACATATCAGGATTGATGCCCGCTTTCCTTCTTTGCCATCAACCAAAGACAGGAGTTGCCATCTGCTGTTGACAACAAGCATTTGGAATTCAGTATCTGCAAGGCCTCTCAAAGCAAAAATGATCGCATCACGTATAAGAGAAATAAGCCGTTTCAGCCAGAAGAGGGAAAGTTCATCGCCTTAGTAAATATGTTGTAGTATAAAAGTTAACGGGCAAAGAAGTTTTCTCTTCAGTTGGCAGTTATGTTTCATACCCCCGCCCCCAAACCAAAACCGACAATTCTTTTTTAAGTCCCGCGGAAGGGCGAGTCCTGGCAGCTACTGAGCTCCCAGGGGTAGCGGAGCGGTCTCGTGGAAGAAGGCGCCGAGGCCGTTTCGGCGTTCAGTCTCTGCCCGCCCTGGCAAGTGAAGCCCAACCGAGCTTCCAGGCGACTGCGGTGGACCTCGTTGTTTCTTCTCCTACCTGCCCGTCATGGCGGCCGTGAATCCAAAGCGCTCTTGGCCAGCGAGCTTCGGTGCGAGGGTCGTGGGGAGAGCGACAAAGAGCGCGCCACAGCGCCCTGGTCCCGAATGCAGCCGCCCCGCAGCCCGCCTGGTCTTGTTCTCCGCCCGGTGCTGCTGCCGTGGCGGGCCGCCCCTCTAGGTCAGGACAGGCGGCCTGATCTTCCTCCCGCCCCTCGGCCCAGCACATATTTTTCCTAGAAAGGGAATGAAATAATAAATAATGAAATCGCGAGGGCGGCCGTCCTGCGTGGTGGGACTTCATAGTGCCGCGCGGTGAAAAGCAAACCGCAGTGACACTATGGCTATGACTTGCTTGCGCTATAGGGTTGGATTCAACTCCAGAGATACTCTTAATAGCTTGTAGGATTAGAGCGACCAATAAGTCCTGTTAAATCCACGGTTAAGAGTCTCATTCTGAGCCTCTGGCCATTGTATCTCTCCATCTTTTTAGGAATATTCTTAATATCCCAATACAAATTTGTAAAGCTGCCCATCTCACAAAACCTGAATCTGGGCAAGTACAACAATAGAACGGTTATGCTTTTAATTCAGTGGTTCTCATTTAATTTCTTATGTCCCAATAACTACTATTACAGAATACACTTATTTATTAAATTTGTTTGCAGTCCATGTTGTTTCCAGGTGGCTCTAGGCAGCTTACAACATTAAAAGCAATACAAAACCATAAGGATATACATCTATAAGCACAATAAAAATACAGGTTATGACTGAAAGGTGGGGAGACAGGGCACAGCATGTACAGGGGAAGGGGAATCTGCTATTGGTCCATTGACTATCTTCAGTGATACTCCTCAATAGGGTCAATCTTGGTCACATCAAGGTAAAACAAAGAAAACAATTTATGCATGCATTCTATTTTGTCAGAATATGACAAAATTTTAAGGCAGTGGTTCTCAACCTGTGGGTCGGGACCCCATTTGGGGTCAAACGACCATTTCACGGGGGTCGCCAAACAAGGCTGTCTGCCATTTTTTCCCCCTTTTCTTTGGCCACTCCCCTAGCACCGGTGATGTATAAGTGGTTGGGGGTCACCACAACATGGGGAACTGTATTATGGGGTCGCGGCATTAGAAAGGTTGAGAACCACTGTTTTAAGGAGATAAAGTTAGTGCAATAATATTATTCACAATAGTTATTAAATTATTAATTTAAGTATTAATTAATACAATATTTAATTTGATTATGAAATTTAAATCACAAAAATAATTTTCATTACCAGTAAAGGTGTAATGAATGTATGTCTAGCACATGGGATTGAGGAATCCTACAAATTTTGATCTGTTTTTCAAGAATGAGTGTGGGGAATTTGAGAACATGAAGTAGAACATTGCGGTAATACATGGATTAGCATATATCTATAATCAATATATTATTAGACATCTGGAACTGGTGTATGTTGTAAATGACCCTGGGATTGACCAAAACAGATCAGGTGTGTTTATTGTTGCAGTTACAATACCATACCTAAGAGTCACTGCAATAATAACCCTTATTCTACTGGATTTTGCTTTCTGAACGTTTTTGGGTGTGTCTTATAGATTTCTGGCTGCTAATCAAGAAAATAACCTGTAATTTAACCTATCTCGTACTGTAGGGATGTCAAACTCAATTTCACTGAGGGCCGCATCAGCATTGCTGTTGCCCTGGGTGGGTATGGTCAGGGTAGGTGCGGCCTACTAGGTGGGCGTGGATGGAGTGGGTGTGGCCTACTGGTTGGGTGTGGCCAGCTCTACATCGTTCGCGTCAAGGGTGCCTATGGAGGTCTGGGCAGGAGTGGGACAGATCTGAGGGTCTCTGGCAGAAGGGGGTGGGACCAGGACAAGTGCCAAGGCATGGTCCACTGGAGGAGCCTCACTGTATATCTCAGGCCATGCGGGGGGGTCAGGATGGTGGTGCGGGCTGCCCGGAGCCCTGGGCAGCAGAGGACAAATGCCCAGCCTGGCCCTTGAGCACCCGCGGCACCAAGCCCAGCCCCACTTCAAGGCTGCTGCTCAAGGTTCTCCTGGTTCCTCACTGTTTCCAGACGGCCTTGTGGAGCTAAGACTGAATGTGTTTCAGGATAGATGGCCACAACAAAATTGTACATTGGCTCCCGGCCAAGACAGAGGGCCAAGGCAGAGGGGGCCGTTCCCTCACTGTTTCCAGGATGGTTTCACAGGCCACATGAAACCACTTCGCGGGCCGCATCTGGCCCCTGGGCCTTGTGTTTGACATGTCTGTCGTACTGTTTTATAGAAATCTTCTGTTTTTACAAAATGGTGATATAGACCCTTTAATACCTGTTGGCTATGCTGCATACATGAAAGAAACATACAAAAACATTCAATACACCAAGTACCAAATGGAGATATTCCACACATGGAATATTGTGGAGAACTCAAAAGTAATGGCTCTGCTGCTTGGAATGCAGCTCAGGTACTAATTTTACTTCTGTAAATGGGAGTCATGGAAGAGAATTGCATTTTATTAAAAAATCAATGAGCACTCTCAAAAAATTTGGTTCCAGCACAGAAAAATTTGGCACACGAACCACTTGTTGACCTCCCAAAATATTTTTGCCTTTGGTTCACACATAAAGCTTTGAAAAATTTTGTGAGTGATGAACAAGGTGAAGGTTTTCATTATCTGGGACAGATGTTTCCAAGAATAATGCTAAGATTAAGGAAGGCATTTTTGTTAGTCCACAGATTAGATACACCATCAATGACAAGTGGTTCAAAGAACTGTTAATAGGACCAGAGAAAATCATCTGGAAAGGATTCAAGGATGTTGAGAATTTTCTTGGCAACTACAGAGCACCAAACTAGATTCAGCTGGTTGATAAACTTCTTAAGGCATACAAGACCACGAAGGGCAACATGTCACTGAAAATTTGTTTTTCCTCATTCATTTGGACTTATTTCCCAAAAATGTAGGTGCAATCAGCAGCAAACATGGTGAAAGGTTTTGGGGTAATGCTTGAAATTACAGGTGGAAGATCTGCTTAATTGCTGATGCTCTATTTTGAATGTTGATGTACCAGAGAAAATATGCTCACCACAGATGTACTACTAATGGGAAATAATCACCAATTTTTGTCCCTTTGATTACTGATTATTTGCCAACAAGTCATTTTAAGTTCCTAGTGACCACACAGAATTTTTCCATGACCGTTTGTCCCTAACTTGGTCTTTCAGGTCTTTTTGTCCTCTTACTTTGAAATTATGAAGTAATGATCAAAATGAAAAGAACCCCTACTCTGGGGCCATTATGTTCCCGCTATGGAGTAATAGTGAAGTAATCTGACATCATCAACAAGCAGCACAACAATCTTAGAGCATTGTACAAAGTGCCCAGACTCACTACTAGTTCCAGGTTCTGCTTTTTCCCTAGCAATTGCCAACCGAGAACCAAACGGGGCCATCACATCTTTTCCCGCGAATGTACAGTGCGGAAGTACCGCCCCTCTTTCTCCTGCCTTCTGCGAATGCGCAGTTGATGTCTTTGAAGCCGGAAGGATGAGATAAAGGGAGTCTAAACCAGGAGTAGGCAACCTTGACACGTGGACTTCAACTCCCAGAATTCCTGAGCCCGCCATGCTGGCTCAGGAATTCTGGGAGTTGAAGTCCACGAGTCATAAAAGCCAAGGTTGCCTACCCCTGGTCTAGAAAATGCTCTTCTCGTTCAAGCGCCCGCGAGGAAGTGGGAGAGTGGCGGGGGCAGGACTACCTGCGCAAATTCGTTCTCCGCCCATCTGAATCTTTGTATGAACGCACGCAAGCAGTTGCCTGAACGAAAATCACGTGTTTGAAGTTGGTGCCTGATTTTTTTTTAAATAAACCAAACCAAGATGGCCAACCATCTTGTTTAGCAGGGGTGCTTTTCGAAGGCGGCTGCGTCCCACAGTTACAGAAGCACCGGGCCGAAGAGTAGCCTTTTCGTCCATCTACTGTCTTCGCCTCCCGCCTGTTCCCGAGACTGCTCGTCAAGATGGCAGATCTGAACCGACAACTGCAAGAATATTTAGCTCAGTCCAAGGGCGGCGGCAGTGGCTCGACGGTTTTGTCAGTTCCTCAGACACCTCCTCAGGACGAGGCAGAAGAAACTGGCTCGGGGTTGGGCGTCTGGCTGCGGCACATGAACCCTTTCCCCGCGACCGGAATGTGGTCGTCGGCGGCCGACCCGGAGCCGGATCCGTGGCTACCGACAAGGGTGTCCCGTTGGCAGAGACTGGTGGGAAGTGCCCTGTGTCTGCTGCTGGCTGCATTGTGTTTCGGCCTGGCCGCGCTTTATGGCTCGCTCCTGCTGCTCCGGAAGTTTGCACTGCTCTGGTCCTTGGGCTCGGCCTTTGCGTTGGGAGCCGCTGGTTTCTTGCAGGGCCCGAGTCGCTTACTGGGCGATCCTGACCGGCGCGGCCTGACCATCCTGTATTTGGGCTCCGTGGGCGGAACTCTATACGCTGCTCTCGGGCTCCGAAGTACGCTGCTCACGGTGCTGGGAGCTGTGGTCCAGCTGGGAGCCGGAGCCGCCTACTTGTTTTCCTCCTTACCTGGCGGTACTGCCGGGTTGCGCTATGTCAGCAGCTTCCTGAGTAGCTTCGTGCGACGAAGTGTTTCTAAAGCTCTTCCAGTGTGAGTTAACCTGTCGTTGGAAGTCCAACTCCCAGGCTTGAGAAGACTGCTCCCGGAGGAGGCACCCCGGGCCGCTTTTCAAAGTAACGCGCAGAGCAGGATATGCAGGCTGAATCCCAGGAGTCCTTGAATAGAAAGTTTCTACAGCGTCTACTTTGTGAATCCCAGGAGACAAAAGACAAGGAGATAATTCAGTTGCCTCACCGTTGCTGTTTGACTCCTGAGAAGTACTAATAAAATAAAAGATGTGACTTAAAACTGAACTGCCTACACTGGCAGTAGAAGGAGCCGAAGGTTTTGTAGAGTATGTGTGCTCCTCCAGCCATTGCACAAACGTGTCCCATTAACCATTTTTAAAATTTACAGTCTCACGATTTCTCTTACTCTCAGGCTATAGGAGAGGCAGTTTAACATTTCCTTTACTTATTCGTTATTGAAGTGTTTGCCCTCTTCTGACACAATTTTGGGGTGGATGTGATTAGGATGCTTTGTCAATAATTTAATGATGGTGCTATTAGCCTTCCGACTGCTGTGATTACCACTTCTCCATTCCAGTCAGTGATACTGCCCTTTTGGCCATTTTGTCCGGGACAGCATAACAGACTTGGGTTAGATGAGGTTAGGTATATAATTTGTTGGAGATGTGTTCTTTTAGAATATTATCTGTATGGTGAAATTAGCATGTAAAGCCATACGCATGAAGAGGTTTTCTGTATATGTTCTGGAATCTCATTTCTCAAAAGAGTTTTGCCTTGTTGATCATTCCCATCCCCTTTACTTTATGGTACTCTTCTGCATTCCAACAATGCTTTTGCACCTGTAATGTATTTCTGAACAGCTTGAAGAAAAAAAAAGTCACTAGTGTCAACTGTCTCTCTCCCTCATGCTGTCTCTCGCTTTACCTTGCTATATTTCTTGTTTCATGTAGTTCTCCCTCCCTCTTCACATCTTTCAAGAGTGCTAGAATGATAGTCAGAGGTTACTGATGGACTAGTCAGAGGTACAAAGTATCTTGGTGCCTGTGACCTATCTTTTGGGGAACTTGAAAGATACACCAAACCTTTGTTCCAGGCATATTGTCTGCATGTGGGAGAGGGTTGCCCAATTAAACAGGAGAGCTTTCCTACCGAGCAGCCTCTGAACTCTTTAAATCCCGCTGCCAGTGCAACATCAGCAGGAGAGGGCTGCCCTGTAGAAGACTTTACTCTCTTGCTTTCCTACCAGCCCCCTCCTAGGTTTCAACTAGGTCTGGATCTGATTATCTGAAAAATTTGCCCCAAATCCAAATTAGAGCAAGTGATTGTTTTTTTTCCTGAGGGACAATCAGCAAGGGAAATGGACCTAGAGGAATCTATGAATTATTTTGCTTTAATTGTCCCGCATTAAAAGTGTAAGAACAACCCAGTTTGCCTTGTTACTACATCTACAAACTACATAAATTCAGAGTTGGTGTCACAATTTTGCAGTGCAAAGTACATTCTTTATATTGTAGCCCGTAAAGCATACCTCTTATGTGTTGTATTCTCTAAAGTCAAAAGCATTAAATCTAGGGAAGTATGTTTAACATTCAAACTCAAATGCTTAATAAACTAGCATTCTAGAAAATAATTTCTAACAAGTTAAATACATGCAATAACTGTCCAAATGTCTATTATTGAATAAGAAAAGTCTTATGTCATAGATTTTTTATTAATGAAAGGAACAACTTGTAAGCAAATGCTTATATTTAAGCCCCCCAGAAATCTACAGAGCTCCACCCTAGACAACTTATTCAAAAACAAATTTTGCTAAATCTAGTAGTACTTCCACAGTCGTGCATTAAGAAGGGATCAAGTAGTGAGTTACAGATTAATAAAATGATAATTTTTAATTTAAATTGGTGTTTGAGTCAGTGATTTGTGATAGCATATGTCATGCAATAGAAAATAGTTGTAAATCAAAAAGCTGCTAAATATTTAAATGTGGAACAAATTTTCATGCAATCATTTAAAAGATTATTTGAAGAAGTCTCAGAAGTACAATAAAATAAACTTTGTAATCCTTTCTAAAGTGAGGCTTAAGCCCCTCCCAAAATGACTAGGATTGCAACCCAAATGTATTTGTACTATACAAATTAGTCTACAGACTTGGAGTATATTATTCTATTTCAGCCTTTCTCAGTTTTTTATTCTGGAAGAACTCTTGAAATGGTCTCAAGGAACTCCTGCATAAAATGATAAAAAAATGCAAAACCATCAGTTAAAACAATTAACCAGTGGAACAACCTGCCTCCAGAAGCGGTGAATGCTCCAACACTGGAAGTTTTTAAGAAGAGACTGGACAGCCATTTGTCCGAAATGGTATAGGGTTTCCTGCCTGAGCGGGGGGTTGGACTAGATGACCGCCAAGGTACCTTCCAAATTTATTATTATTATTATTATTATTATTATATTATCATCATCACAATACAATTCACTTCTAACCTGTACAATTCAATTTTACAACTTTTACAACAGCAAACTGGCAATCAGCAGCTGAGTTGTGACATAAAAATTCCCATTATTGCAAATGCTAGGATTGTGTGATATACAAAGTTTTTTTTTAAATTAAGTTACAGTCTCTCACAGAACTGTTACAACTTCAACCTTAAGAATTCTGTAGAACTCCAGTTCAGAAAGGCTGTTCTATTCCCTAGTGTGACATATGGGGGAAATTCAATAGAATGTCTAAAATTGTGATGGATTTTTACTTTTTATGTTGAGTTCAAAGAACATGGAAGTATGTTGTGCCAAATTATCAATTTACTAATTATATTTTTTCATTCACTATTTAAATTCCTGCACATATGAGGATAACTACTTTTCTGTGATGTTCAACCCTTGGGATTTATCAAGAATTCATTTAAAATGTACTTTTACTATTTTCTATATTTTCTTAATATTAAATTTGATCTGTTACTTTTTCATTGGAATGAAAATAGGTTTTATATCTGCTGGTTTAGGGCAAGAAAAATTAGAGATCATTGTATTAATGAAATAAATCTGAAAAGCAAAACTTGCCACAGGAAGAAAACTCCACATAGCCAACTATCTGTGGTGACAACTTGCCACAGTTGTCTGGCTGGCAGCCAGAGGGAGACCCAAGTGAGCAGCTAGGCAGCGCTCAGAGCCATCAGGGCAGCCAGTGGGGAGATGGCAGTGGCTGGGAGCTTCCCATATTCACATACTCACTGCCACGCTGGCCTCAGCCACTGCCGCACTGTGCTCAAAACTGCCACTGCCAAGCCAGGCTTGGAGCCACTGCCAAGGTGGCAGCAGCAGTGCGTATGAAAATGGGAAGACCTTGGCTGCCAGCTCCCCTCCACCTGCCCCACCATGCTCTGTCCACCTGGTCACCTGGCTCTCCCTCCGGCTGCTCACTATGCATTGTGTAGAGGTGGCAAGCTGGTGGCAGCATGTTGGCCAGTGAGTTGCCCTAGCCTAGACCCCAGAATTTAGACTTCTTAACTATAGTGAAGACAGGAAAACAAGTTTAAAAAAGGTACATCCTGCTTTTTTATTAGTCTGTGCTTGTTTACTCCTTACTTTAAGCTTATTTAAATTAATGCAGTCTACCCTGCTTAATTTGTCATTACAGCCGTGAGACAAATTTATTTCTGAATAGGAATAGGTCAGGGGTAGGCAACCCAAAACACTTAAAGAGCCACTTGGACCCATTTCCCACCAAAAACAAAACACTGGGAGCCGCAAAACCCTTTTAATATCTAAAATGAAGATAACACTGCATATATCCTTTTTTACCTTTATTATAGGTGTGTGTGTTTGTGTGTGGGGGGGTATTTGTGTGTGTGTATGTGTGTGTGTATATGTATATGTATGTATGTGTATATATATATATATATATATATATATATATATATATATATATATATATATATATATATATATATATGTTTTCTGAGGTTTTCGCGGGTGTATGTAGATCTTTGGTTGTTCGGGTTTTCTCCCGCGTCAAATTGGAAGTGTCTTGGCGACATTTCGACGAAGTCCCATTCGTTATCTTCAGGCTGGTGTTTTCAGCTTCGTGCTTCGAGCAGCTGCTCAAAGCACGAAGCTGAAAACACCAGCCTGAAGATGACGAATGGGACTTCGTCGAAACGTCGCCAAGACACTTCCAATTTTACGCGGGAGAAAACCCGAACAACCAAAGACCTACATATATATATATATATATATATATTATATATATATATATATATATATACATACACACACACACACACACACACACACATATACATACATACATACACACACACACACAGGTTAAAAAAAGGATATATGCAGTGTTATCTTCATTTTAGATGTCAAAAGGGTCTCTCTCTCTCTTTCTCTGTCTCTCTCCCTCCCTCTCTATCTGCCCTTGGTCTACCACTCCTCTTCCCCCACTCTTTCTTTCTTTCTTTCTTTCTCTCTGCCCTTGGTCTACCACTCCTCTTCCCCCACTCTTTCTTTCTTTCTCTCTCTCTCTCTCTCTCTCTCTCTCTCTCTCTCTTTCTCCCCCCCCCTCCTATCTGCTGCTCACCTGGCAAGCTTCAAGCTGTTGTCCAACAAGATCAGGGGTAGGCAACCTCGTCTCTTTTATGACTCATGGACTTCAACTCCCAGAATTCCTTAGTCAGCCTAGCTGGGCTAGCTAGCTCTCTCCTGCCCTTCCTGCTTCTTGCTTTCTGCAGAGACGCAGCAAAAGGAGCTCCGCCCAGTAAGCTTTTCAGCTCCTCAGAGAACATATGAGTACACTCTCTTTTACACATACACACACAACACAAACACACACACACACACACACACACACACACACACCCAGAGAGAGAGAGATTGAAGCAGGGAAGCGCAATTGCCTCTCTCTGTCTCTCTCTCTCTGCAAAGGCAGAGGAGGCTGGGAGCCACAGGGGAAGGCTCAAAGAGCCGCATGCGGCTCCGGAGCCGCAGGTTGCCGACCTGTGGAATAGGTATTCCCAAAGCTAATTGATGTCCTCTACTTGGTAAGGAAAAGTCAAAAATATTCAAAATAGAATAGGCTTTATAATTTATCTACCAAAAATGGAGAAATATCTGTACATATGTATTTGTTCTATACAAACTTGTATAATTTGTTATTTTTTCTCAAAGAAAAACATTTAAGAGTCCTTTACAAGGTCGCTTAATTCACTTTAACTGTGTAACTAATAAGTGGTGTGAAGGTATCAAACATTGTTTTGATTTTATGACTCTTACGACTTGCAAAAATGAAGAAATGTACCTGTTTTGCATACTCCTAATGAGAATGATTGCCTTGTTCATTGTGCTTTGAATAAGTTGGTTGGCTTACTATACAGCTGACCCTAAAATATTTTAAATTCTTATCAAGGCTAGGTTTTTAAATTAATGTCTTACCTAAAATCACATTGATCTTTTAACGGCTCAACATCTATGTACACAATATATAGAAATTTCTAGGCTGCAATTGTGTATACATTTTATAATAAATCCTATCATATATATTAGGCTAGTTATCTGCCTTGTTTTTATGCCAAATCATGATGGATTCGCACATCATGCTAAGCAAAACAAAACATATTGTGATGTGTAAAACCAACTTTTGATAAATAAAGCTTAAATTGTCTCAGAATCAGAATACTGGATAATAAACATCTCAACTGAGGACATTTTATTGTAAAATAAATGTAAAACAGATACAGTACTATAATGGAAAGAAACGGTACTTACACCTTTAAGGAAAATATGTAAAGGCTTTTTAAGGTTATGTCTAGATATTCAGACTATAGTTAGGTATTCTTTCTTGATATTTCTGAAGCTATGTTTATCTATTTTAAAAAATAATGTTAAATGGTTTGGTTAAATTATAGCTTCAGAAACAACAAATTCAAGTCATCAATTTAGAAGCCCATTCAGACTCTTCAAAGGTTTTCATTAGGGGTTAGCTACATTTCTTTCTTATCTGAGGTCTTCCATTGCATTTCAAAGTGGTCAAATGGCAGAATATTGGGATGTTTTTCTGAATAAATCAGAACTGATCATTAATTAACAGATTACAGAACAATGTTCATATGTTTTAACTATAAGTCCTTATTGTACCATATACAAATATCTCACTCTATGGACCAAGAAGTACTCAGGGAATCTGTACACGAAACTCTTCTGCTCGTTCTGGTTACGGAAGGGAAAGACATTCCTAGTAATTAACAAAAGTGACTTTCATTTATATATTTTTATAACATGCTAACTGAACATGTGAGGCTTAAAAACTTTGTGTAAGTAACTGTGATAGCTAGTTCTGTGGCAGTGCATGTATCCAACACAGAAAATGTCCATAGAAATTTTAGGAGACGGTTCCTCTATGATATGTGAAAACGTGTATAGAAAAATCACACACTCTTGTTAATTTTTGGACAAATTGCATTCTGTATTCATACAAAAACAACTTTAACTTTTCCTGACAACTGTACATATAGAAACAAGTTCTTGACATGAACTGAAATCTGGATGTGTTCCATATCTCACATCACTAAAAAGAAAAAGAAAAACAAAAACACCCAGCTTTATCTTCAGATATCAATTTAAAAAATATGGATATGACAAGGAATTGGGATGGTATGGAAATGAAACAAAGATTGTTGTGATGGTATTATTAGCTGGTATTTAATGTTGGAAAAGACCTTAGGAACTAATGAACAATCACTTATCTCCATCTAGAGTCCATGTTTGTAGGATTGCAGAATTATTTTTGCAATGATTCTGCAACAAGTGGAAAGACTGGGGTTTTTTTTCCCAGTCATGTCCACTTCTATCGACCCCTTCCTCCACCTCTAGAACCTCCTCGCCTTGACTGGCTTGA